TGTGTGCTACCATCGCCTCCCCTTTCACAGCGTCACAGTGCCACGTGCTTTTTATCTTCAACTTCGTTTCCTCTACTCATCGTTCTTGTTATCTCTGCCCCCTTGCATGCATTTCACTACTTACATGCTTCTTCTGCTGACTACTTGGGTCCCTTTCCCCTGCTCTGTTTTCTTGCTCTCCTTCCCATCTCGTCCGGTGCTATGGCAGCGTGGTGCGGGGAGGGAGGGCGGTGGGATGACGCACGGCAGGCAGTCACAGCGGCATGCGAGCCTCCTGGAAGCCTGACGCCACTGTCCTGCAAGCACCCCCATACGGCTAAGTTCCCTCTCCCTTCGCCCTTGCCATCCTTACCCGCTTCTGCTTTGTGTTTATCATTGCCCACTTCTGTACCGCATTCTTCCGTCACCGCGTGCTCGAAACAAATGAGCCCATTTTCGAATGGGAGCGTTGAAAAGTTGAGTGAGGGATGAGCGGCGTTTGGCGATGGTAGCGCATGGCACTGGGGCGGCTTGAGCTCATACTAGAGTCGCAGGGGGTTAGAGTAGAATGCATTCATAATCATGCTGCGTCCCTTCCAAATTTGCCTGCTAGCTCGGCGCCCTAGTGCTGTGTGCTACCATCGCCTCCCCTTTCACAGCGTCACAGTGCCACGTGCTTTTTATCTTCAACTTCGTTTCCTCTACTCATCGTTCTTGTTATCTCTGCCACCTTGCATGCATTTCACTACTTACATGCTTCTTCTGCTGACTACTTGGGTCCCTTTCCCCTGCTCTGTTTTCTTGCTCTCCTTCCCATCTCGTCCGGTGCTATGGCAGCGTGGTGCAGGGAGGGAGGGCGGTGGGATGACGCACGGCAGGCAGTCACAGCGGCATGCGAGCCTCCTGGAAGCCTGACGCCACTGTCCTGCAAGCACCCCCATACGGCTAAGTTCCCTCTCCCTTCGCCCTTGCCATCCTTACCCGCTTCTGCTTCGTGTTTATCATTGCCCACTTTTGTACCGCATTCTTCCGTCACCGCGTGCTCGAAACAAATGAGCCCATTTTCGAACGAAGCGATGAAAAGTTGAGTGAGAGATGAGCGGCGTTTGGCGATGGTAGCGCATGGCACTGGGGCGGCTTGAGCTCATACTAGAGTCGTAGGGGGTTAGAGTAGAATGCATTCATAATCATGCTGCGTCCCTTCCAAATTTGCCTGCTAGCTCGGCGCCCTAGTGCTGTGTGCTACCATCGCCTCCCCTTTCACAGCGTCACAGTGCCACGTGCTTTTTATCTTCAACTTCGTTTCCTCTACTCATCGTTCTTGTTATCTCTGCCACCTTGCATGCATTTCACTACTTCCATGCTTCTACTGACTACTTGGGTCCCTTTCCGCTGCTCTGTTTTCTTGCTCTCCTTCCCATCTCGTTCGGTGCTATGGCAGCGTGGTGCGGGGAGGGAGGGCGGTGGGATGACGCACGGCCGGCAGTCACAGCGGTGTGCGAGCCTCCTGGAAGCCTGACGCCACTGTCCTGCAATCACCCCCATACGGCTAAGTTCCCTCACCCTTCGGCCTTGCCATCCTTACCGCTTCTGCTTTGTGTTGATCATTGCCCACTTAAGTACCGCATTCCCGCATTCTTCCGTCACAGCGTGCTCGAAACAAATGAGCCCATTTTCGAATGGGAGCAATCAAAAGTTGAGTGAGAGATGAGCGGCGTTTGGCGATGGTAGCGCATGGCATTGGGGCGGCTTGAGCTCATACTAGAGTCGTAGGGGGTTAGAGTAGAATGCATTCATAATCATGCTGCGTCCCTTCCAAATTTGCCTGCTAGCTCGGCGCCCTAGTGCTGTGTGCTACCATCGCCTCCCCTTTCACAGCATCACAGTGCCACGTGCTTTTTATCTTCAACTTTCGTTTCCTCTACTCATCGTTCTTGTTATCTCTGCCCCCTTGCATGCATTTCACTACTTCCATGCTTCTACTGACTACTTGGGTCCCTTTCCGCTGCTCTGTTTTCTTGCTCTCCTTCCCATCTCGTCTGGTGCTATGGCAGCGTGGTGCGGGGAGGTGGGATGACGCACGGCAGGCAGTCACAGCGGTGTGCGAGCCTCCTGGAAGCCTGACGCCACTGTCCTGCAAGCACCCCCATACGGATAAGTTCCCTCTCCCTTCGCCCTTGCCATCCTTACCCGCTTCTGCTTCGTGTTTATCATTGCCCACTTTTGTACCGCATTCTTCCGTTACCGCGTGCTCGAAACAAATGAGCCCATTTTCGAATGGGAGCGATGAAAAGTTGAGTGAGAGATGAGCGGCGTTTGGCGATGGTAGCGCATGGCACTGGGGCGGCTTGAGCTCATACTAGAGTCGTAGGGGGCTAGAGTAGAATGCATTCATAATCATGCTGCGTCCCTTCCAAATTTGCCTGCTAGCTCGGCGCCCTAGTGCTGTGTGCTACCATCGCCTCCCCTTTCACAGCGTCACAGTGCCACATGCTTTTTATCTTCAACTTCGTTTCCTCTACTCATCTTTCTTGTTATCTCTGCCACCTTGCATGCATTTCACTACTTTCATGCTTCTACAGACTACTTGGGTCCCTTTCCGCTGCTCTGTTCTCTTGCTCTCCTTCCCATCTCGTCCGGTGCTATGGCAGCGTGGTGCGGGAAGGGAGGGCGGTGGGATGACGCACGGCCGGCAGTCACAGCGGTGTGCGAGCCTCCTGGAAGCCTGACGCCACTGTCCTGCAAGCACCCCCATACGGCTAAGTTCCCTCTCCCTTCGCCCTTGCCATCCGTACCGCTTCTGCTTTGTGTTTATCATTGCCCAATTTTGTACCGCATTCTTCCGTCACCGCGTGCTCGAAACAAATGAGCTCAATTTCGAATGGGAGCGTTGAAAAGTTGAGTGAGGGATGAGCGGCGTTTGGCGATGGTAGCGCATGGCACTGGGGCGGCTTGAGCTCATACTAGAGTCGTAGGGGGTTAGAGTAGAATGCATTCATAATCATGCTGCGTCCCTTCCAAATTTGCCTGCTAGCTCGGCGCCCTAGTGCTGTGTGCTACCATCGCCTCCCCTTTCACAGCGTCACAGTGCCACGTGCTTTTTATCTTCAACTTCGTTTCCTCTACTCATCGTTCTTGTTATCTCTGCCCCCTTGCATGCATTTCACTACTTACATGCTTCTTCTGCTGACTACTTGGGTCCCTTTCCCCTGCTCTGTTTTCTTGCTCTCCTTCCCATCTCGTCCGGTGCTATGGCAGCGTGGTGCGGGGAGGGAGGGCGGTGGGATGACGCACGGCAGGCAGTCACAGCGGCATGCGAGCCTCCTGGAAGCCTGACGCCACTGTCCTGCAAGCACCCCCATACGGCTAAGTTCCCTCTCCCTTCGCCCTTGCCATCCTTACCCGCTTCTGCTTTGTGTTTATCATTGCCCACTTTTGTACCGCATTCTTCCGTCACCGCGTGCTCGAAACAAATGAGCCCATTTTCGAACGAAGCGATGAAAAGTTGAGTGAGAGATGAGCGGCGTTTGGCGATGGTAGCGCATGGCACTGGGGCGGCTTGAGCTCATACTAGAGTCGTAGGGGGTTAGAGTAGAATGCATTCATAATCATGCTGCGTCCCTTCCAAATTTGCCTGCTAGCTCGGCGCCCTAGTGCTGTGTGCTACCATCGCCTCCCCTTTCACAGCGTCACAGTGCCACGTGCTTTTTATCTTCAACTTCGTTTCCTCTACTCATCGTTCTTGTTATCTCTGCCACCTTGCATGCATTTCACTACTTACATGCTTCTTCTGCTGACTACTTGGGTCCCTTTCCCCTGCTCTGTTTTCTTGCTCTCCTTCCCATCTCGTCCGGTGCTATGGCAGCGTGGTGCAGGGAGGGAGGGCGGTGGGATGACGCACGGCAGGCAGTCACAGCGGCATGCGAGCCTCCTGGAAGCCTGACGCCACTGTCCTGCAAGCACCCCCATACGGCTAAGTTCCCTCTCCCTTCGCCCTTGCCATCCTTACCCGCTTCTGCTTCGTGTTTATCATTGCCCACTTTTGTACCGCATTCTTCCGTCACCGCGTGCTCGAAACAAATGAGCCCATTTTCGAACGAAGCGATGAAAAGTTGAGTGAGAGATGAGCGGCGTTTGGCGATGGTAGCGCATGGCACTGGGGCGGCTTGAGCTCATACTAGAGTCGTAGGGGGTTAGAGTAGAATGCATTCATAATCATGCTGCGTCCCTTCCAAATTTGCCTGCTAGCTCGGCGCCCTAGTGCTGTGTGCTACCATCGCCTCCCCTTTCACAGCGTCACAGTGCCACGTGCTTTTTATCTTCAACTTCGTTTCCTCTACTCATCGTTCTTGTTATCTCTGCCACCTTGCATGCATTTCACTACTTCCATGCTTCTACTGACTACTTGGGTCCCTTTCCGCTGCTCTGTTTTCTTGCTCTCCTTCCCATCTCGTTCGGTGCTATGGCAGCGTGGTGCGGGGAGGGAGGGCGGTGGGATGACGCACGGCCGGCAGTCACAGCGGTGTGCGAGCCTCCTGGAAGCCTGACGCCACTGTCCTGCAATCACCCCCATACGGCTAAGTTCCCTCACCCTTCGGCCTTGCCATCCTTACCGCTTCTGCTTTGTGTTGATCATTGCCCACTTAAGTACCGCATTCCCGCATTCTTCCGTCACAGCGTGCTCGAAACAAATGAGCCCATTTTCGAATGGGAGCAATCAAAAGTTGAGTGAGAGATGAGCGGCGTTTGGCGATGGTAGCGCATGGCATTGGGGCGGCTTGAGCTCATACTAGAGTCGTAGGGGGTTAGAGTAGAATGCATTCATAATCATGCTGCGTCCCTTCCAAATTTGCCTGCTAGCTCGGCGCCCTAGTGCTGTGTGCTACCATCGCCTCTCTGTTTTCCCTGCCTTGTTGGTTTGGCGCTTGCAAGTCCTGTTCCACTGCTGCCTTCCGTCTGTGGACCTTGCTGCATCCCGTGTCCTTATCCCTATCCTCAACTCTATCACTTGTTCCAGGCCAATGGAGTGTGAGCAGCAAGGGGCAGCAGTGGCAGCCACTGGAAAGGGTACTGCTGAGATGGGTGCTGCTGCGAGGGGTGCTGCTGCAAGTGCGACCACTGGGGGCAACATGGGAGGAGCAGCGCCTTGCACCCATCTTCTCCACCCGCCTGCTGCCCTCCCGCCGCCCCTCGTTCCTCCTCCAGCTGCTCCCGCGTTCTCACCAAGGGACCCTCCCCAGGTGATAGCTCCCCAAGCGTACACTTCAAGAGCGAATCTCCACTCAGCAGTTTGCTCTCTCGTTTCTCACGCATGCATTTGTCCAGGAAAAAAGTGCTGTTGGCGCTTTTTACCTTTCTTTTGTGGACTCACTTTCTTTCCCTGCCTCGTTCACCTGTCTCTCTGTGCTTCCCCTTCTTTCATCCCAACAGCAAGAATGCAGTGGGTGTAGGAGGGTGCGAGTGCTGCTGGTGGCGGTTCTGCTGCCCTGGTGGTGATGGTGATGGCGCATGCAGTGATTCTGCTAGTGCTGATAGTGCTGGCGCTGCTGCTGATGCCAGTCTGATGCCACTGGTCATGCAACCCCGGAGGATGGAGCTCTCTGGTGAGCAGCTCCTTCTATCTGGTCTTCCCCCTCTGTTGTTCTCCTTCCGTCATCTTGTTCTCGGCTTCCCTAGTCTCCGGTTCTGAAGTTCTTCTCTTGTTCCGCTCCTCTTCTTCAACGCCGTATCCTGATTTTCACCTTTATTCGATCGCCCTCCTTGCTTCTTGCTTTCCTTGTTCATCTCCTGTGTTCGGGAGCAGAGGAGGACGCAGAGGGAGCAAACAAGTGGGAGCGGAGATAAAGGAGCACATATGTGAGAGGGAACATCTGTGATGTGGTGAGTCTCCTCTGCCAGATCCTTCTCCTTCGTACTCGCTGTGGCCTGCTCCTTTGATCCTCCATCCATCGCTATGTGTTACTGCTCTGCCTCACTCTCACCGTTCTGTCAATCTCATCCTTTGCAAAAGCCTCCTTGCTTCCCACTCACTTGCGGTTGCCTCCTTGCCTCCCACTCTCTTCCCCCACCCCCTCCTCCCCCCGTTCCGTTCTGTATTACTGCACCTTCGCCCTCATTATTCTGTATCTCCTTATTTTCTTCCCTGTCACCATCCTTTCCCTGTCTTTCTTCCAGCAAGCGAGGACAGCAAGGTGTGATAGCAAATGGGGAGCCGAAGGGAACACAATGGGCACACGATGTAGTAAGCTCCTCCTGCTGCCCGTCAGTTTAGTCTCCCTTGCCACTCCTTTTCTGTCTTTTCGGTCAAGCGGGCATTCGCATGTTGCATGCTAAGTTCCCCTCGCCTAGCCAGCCCTCACCCTTACTACTTCGATTTGAACATCATCGCTGCTCCTCCCATACCTTCTTGTCTCCTCCTCCCTGCCTGTCATCCTGCAGTCAAACACAGCATGGCACGGGAGTGGCAGCAGCAGCAATATCAGCAAGGGACAACTAGCACGGGCGAATCAACTGAGCCCTTTTCCTGCGGTGCGTTCCTTGTCCCCCTCCTGTCCTTCTCCTCAGAGCTCTATGTGCCATCCACTCTCGCTCCCTTCCCCTCTGCTTCTTCTCGACGCCTTCTCTCCTCTCATACCCTCTTGCGCCGCTGTCTGACAAGCAGGCACGTCAATGGTGGCATGGGAGGGATCACAGGCGAGGTCAAGTCATTCGACTTCTTCTTATGGTAATGCTGCTCGCCCCGCACTCTTCTTCTCTGCCCCCAATTTCCCTCTGTCGGCCTCTCGGTTGCATCTCCTCTCTGTTTCTCATTTCTTTTACATTCGCTCCTCTACCTTCAGATGCCTTGCTTCTCGACGAATCCTCTCCCCTTTCACATTCTTGATTTCTCAGCTCTTCCTCTTCTCATTCTTCACATGCCTTTTTCCCTGGTATTCCTCCTTCAGGTCTAATAAGCAGCAGTGGGCGGAGCAGCATTTTGGCAGCAGCATTGGAGCATGAGGGTGCACAAGAATAGCACGTGCTTTGAGGACTTTTCTAGTGGTGAGTTTCTGCAACCACCCCTTTCTCTTCTGCACCACACTTGCCTGTTACGCCAATACTTTTTCCATCCCAACACTTCCTGTCCATGTCTCACAGTCCTTTGCCTTCCATGGCCGTTTGTCTCTCTGCTCGGCAACACAATTCCGCTGTAACAGAAAAGGAACCATAATCTTCAACACTAGCTGACATGCTCGGCTCCTTTGATCTTCTCTTGGTCTCTCATTTGCCCATCGCTCTTTCTCTGCTTTGTTTTGAGTGTGTTGTTGACTTGACAGGATTGGACTGGTGAGGCAGGGATTGTGTTTGCTTGGTGGAACCAACTGGAATGGCCAACTGGTGAAGAGCTTATCGTTGTCTCTGAAGGTGAGAAAAAGGCAACCAAACACAGACTGAACGCAGCATATCCTGTCATATCATATTGTATCACATCACATCCTATCATATCATATTTTATCATCTCATATCATATCATATCATATTGTATCTGTACATTGTGTAGGTATGAAAAACATGATAATTGTGTACCCCAATTGGAAAACATGCATAAATTCACATCGTATTTCGTTTTATCACATAGAGAAGCTCAACTCTCGTCTGCCTTGCCGCCTCCTCTCGTTTGCTTGCAGGACAACCACGTGCTTGCAAGACGGAAGATGGAGAACAAATATGCTACAGTAGACAGGTTATTTAGATTAGTATTGCTTTCTGGTATGGTATCCCCCCACCACCCTCTCCTCCTCGACCCCCCAAAATTCCAACCCCCCCTTACTCCATCCCATCCCCTCCCCCTGCGTAGGCATTTCCCCACATCCTCTCTCTCCCCCTCGCTGCGGTGCCCCTCCCCATTCCTCCCTCTGCGACCCACCTCCCCCTGCATCCCACCTCCCTCTGCGACCTACCAACCCATGTAACGCACCAGCAACCCCCTGCGTAGGCTCGACTAACCACAGGGCTAACCACGGGGCTAAGCACAGGGCTAACCACAGGGCTAACTACAGGGCTCACCACGGGGCTAACCACAGGGCTAACTACAGGGTTAATTACAGGGCTAACTACAGGGCTAACTACAGGGCTAACTACAGGGCTAACTACAGGGTTAATCGCACGGGTAATCCAGCGCTAACCGCAGGGCTCACTACAGGTCTAATCACAGGGTAAGTTGCAGGGGTAATCGCAGGGTTAACCGAGGGCACATCACAGGGCTAACCACAGAGCTAACCGCAGGGGTAACCACAGGGCTAATCCGAGAGCTTGTGCCTAGTGTGTGGCATACTAGTTACAGGGCTTGTGCCCCTTGGCGCGCTAGTCACAGAGATGATGCATAGGATACTCATTCACAAGGCTTCATACATGAACACTAACCCAAGCTAAGTGAACATAGTGTCCACAAGCCATGTGAATATAGGCACTATAGCCACAGGGTGTATGCAGCAGAGCATGCTAACCACAGGGCCAGTGTATTAGGGCAGGCTCCGTACAGGTCTAATGACAATGGCTACCACAGGGCTCATCACAGAGCCAACCACAGGGCACACCGCAGGGGTAACAACAGGGCTCAATCAGAGAGCTTGTGCATCGTGGCACGGTAGTCACAGGGATGATGCATGGGATACTCATTCACAAGGTTTCTTACCCGAACACTAACCACTAGAATCTGAACATAGTGTCCACAAGGCATGTACACGTGGGCACTGAAGCCTCAGGGTGTGTGCAGCACAGCAGAGCATGCTAACCACACCACAGGGCCAGTGCATTAGGGCAGGTTCCATGAGGGGTTTATGCATCTAAGTGTGCTACTTACGGGGCTTGTGCATCAAAGGAAGTGTGCTACAGGGCTTGTGCATCAGAGCACCCGTGCTATTTACAAGGAACCATTGCTTCCGCATCCGATATATTGTGTGCTTCTACTACATTAGTCTGTATTAATATGATTCAAAATGAAGAACAGTCTCTGGTTTATTTTTCCCATGCCACTTATTGACCATGTGGCACAAAGTAAACAAAATACATCATGCTTATTCAGGGTTGCAGCTTGCATGCACAAGCTTGAGCTGCACAGCTGTGGTGTCTTTAGGGTCAGCAGGACCCTTGCAAAAATACGTTACGGTGCTACATAGCCAAAAAGTTGCTGGCTCTGCTTGCCAGTGCCAAACCTTGCTGGCGAAAAATGCCGATATATCTGTAGAGTGAGAAATGCAAAGGTTAGAGACGGATTGTCGTGCACCAAGTGAGGCAGCAGACAAGAGACTCACCACATGGAGGTTGTAGTCGTGGAAAATGCAATATGTTTACATGTACATCCCTAAGAGGATTGAAGCTCGTTGGCGGAGAAGCTCCTTCTGAGGCGCGAATTTCTAAATTCTTGATGTTGCAACGGTGGTGGCGGCTGTGCTGAAAAGCACACAGTTACGACTGTCACGTTGTCACCAGAATCTCTCCGAATGGCCTCCTGCACCAGTTCCTGAAGAAAAAACATTCATGTGATTGGAGGAAAAAACCGTCAGTAAAGCCTGAATGCTTAGTGCTAGGGAACCAGAAATGCATAACGAGCCAAAATGTAAGGCAAGGGAGTTGCAACGCAGCACAGACCTGTGAGCATTGCTGAGGGTTGTTGTGGACACGCAGTCTCTTTCGAGCAAAGGAAACCACCTCATGACTGTGGCGGAACGCATCCCAGAGACCATCACACCCAATCACAAGAAACTCATCCTCCTCCGTCAGCTCTGCCTCACGTAGCTCAGGCTCCGCTATAAGCGGACCCACAACTGTTTCCCCATCAGCTGCCCTGTTCTTCATGCCCTGGGATGCGATAAACAAACCATGCATGGCAATATGAAAAAGTACAAAAGTTAGCAGACTGCAATAAAAAAAAAGGCAGTATTGAACGTAACATTTCTTCTACAACCTGCTTACCTGCAAATGCCAGTCGCCGAGAGCTCTTGTCACAGCAAGTTGATCGTTCAGATAGTCTTCGACAATAAAACCGCCTGCCAGGTGCACCCGCTCCCTCTCTAACTGACAGGACGGACGGTGGTCCCTGCTTAGCTCCACTACTTTTCCTCGCCGACACAGCACAGCTCGGCAGTCACCAGCATTTGCGACGTACAGAGCCCTGAAACGACCCAATTTGTAAACGGGTCAGCAACAATGAAAAAGGAACTAGATTTGGTACAGGAAGCGAACAAAACGGCAAAGCATGAAGATGATGACATACTTTCCCAGAAGCAGAACTGCCAGCGCGGTTGTCCCTGATTCCATTGGCTCGCTGGCCCGAGTATGCGCCATCTCCAGCTCTCGGTCGGTACGCATGAACGCATTGCAGATTGCTTGTCCTACTCGATCTGGGAAAGACGGATCGCTAAGAATGTTCCCTAGCAACTGACTGCTCACGAATTTCGCAGCAGCGTCACCACCATGCCCGTCAAACACCTGAAAAGGGAAAAGTCGAGTTGGATGTCAGCCCACCAATGACCCATATGCGACCCAGGTGAAGCGCAACAAAGCAAGGCACACTCACCCCGTAAAAAGATCCCCGTCGCGAGAACGACAAATCACCAAACGACTTCGTCAGGTCATCAACCATAACATGCGCATCTTCCATGTTCTTCCTCGGACCCTGATCAGATCCATGTCCTGACCGAACGACAGGCCACTCCAGTACCGACGTGGAACGCGGAAACAGCTGGTCAGATACTGGCTTCAAACCATAGGCGCGTTCTGCAGAAGCAGACTCCGTGACTTCCTGCAGACGCCAGCCAATGCGCAACGTCTCTCAGACTCAATATCTTCAGCATAAAAGACCAAGATACGTAACGTCTTTTAATCAACTATGGTAAGATACTTTAGTAGGTAACTCACATGTCTGGCTGAAAGAACAACTTCTTCCTCGCTTGGTAGCAGGTTGCATGTGAAGCTACGTCTCATCAACCCGAGAGGGTTGTTGGCAGACTGTTCCTTGACGCTCATAACGTTGCAGCGTGACTGTAACGTGTAGCAAGTCTCTGGTAAGGCACAACCACTGTGACCATTGAATGGTGTCAAAGGGCTTTCGTGAGAGCTTTCGTCCTCCGCTTCAGGAATCATGGTAGTACTGAGCCACGAAAAAGGCGTTAATCCCTGTCCTAACCCTGACACGTCTGCATCCTGGAAACGTCTACCTTCTTCCATGCCTAGAGCACCCCCTGAGGCGATTGCTGCCATAACCCCGATTGGCGATAAACCTGGCATACGTGAGTCTCCAGCAAACCCTATCTTCACAGACACAACGGACTAACGAGTTGGCTCTCGAAAGAAGGTACACAACGCGCGAGCGTAAGATGCGGATATTGTTACTACGGGAACTCTCACGTTACGCTATCCTTCTTCACAAACAGGCTACTAGATTCCTTAGACCTGGTAGAGAATTGATTTGTTCATAAAGTAGCTACGGGTTCCTGGTCCAAGGCATTATTTGTGGGTGCTTTTTTTTCTGAGCTGAGAGGAGGATGCAAGGGTGGGCAAAAAGCGGCTGGCTGATGCTTTGGTGCTCCGTGTGGTGGCTGGTGCAGCTGTGTGCCACATCAGCCGCCAAAAAGCTCCGCTGTCTGCTGAGCGACAGTTGCAACTGCGATGACGTGCGAACGGTTTGTTCGGATCAACCGAGGATTTATGGCCGCAACTGCAGCTGGCGTACGCTCGACTTTGTGGTGTTGCCCGCAGGGCTGGGAGTTCATCAGACCTACACGGGCTGGAACGCGAAGCGAAGTGATGGGCAGGCTAGTGTTTGCAACGACCCTGGAGAACTTGTGTTGTCACATCACCACCACCACCTGGCACTCGCTGGTTTCTTTCCGCTCGTCTCTACCGTCCGTCCGAGATGAAAACCGTTCTTAGCCATCGATAACGAAGAAGGGGAAAAAGGGGCAGGTTCGTGACGTGGCGGCAGATTTTGTTGGGGAGCCAGCATGGTAGGAGCCATTTGTTTTTGTAAAGATTGCCCGAATGCCGTGTGGCCAATCACAAGACCGAGGTCAGCGCATTTTGACGCTCATCATGATAGGGCTGGGCAAAAGCCAACTTCCCCACCACCACGAGGATTCTCCCGAGAATCGTGGAAGCCCAAAAAGGACAATCGAATAATCTGCAACTCGGATCTAGAACCATGCTATAAGGAGGGTGAGTGTTCACAAGTGATCCTATCGAGAAATATATTTATAAGTAGTCTCGCTGGTTGGATCCACTGATTTGAAATTAATTACATACCGTACATTAATTTGGAAAATACTAGCACGGCACCTCACCACTCTGCATGATTGAGGGCAAGATAACCTGATCGATACCGTCCATTTGTGAGCCTCAGCTCATTGATGAGCCTGTTCCAATTGGAAGCTAGAGCTCCAACAAAAAAAATCACATTCTGATGCTATTATCAGGTTAACAAAGCTGGCTGCAGTTACTGCACCAGGGCCTGCTGACTGCTCATATGAATAGAATAACTTGTTTCCTGTTTGCCTCTGCACCTTGGTGAAGAGAAAGATCCAGTCCTGGAAGCGGGACACTGCTTCATCAACAACAGTCTGCAAACATGGGAGAAGGGTAGGAGGGCGATGAGATGGAGCAACAAGTGAATTACCCACTTGCGTGGACTATTAAAGGTGCATGCGTGGGTACTTTTTGCTGGAAAACCCAAAGCTGCCGAAAATGCCTACAGAAGAAGGAATGGGAGGGGGTGAACAGATTCCCAAAGCCCCACACATACCTGCATTTCTGTGCTGAGCCACACGTGCTTGAGGTTTGGCACATGCAGGCGCAGGCGATGGCCCAGATATACATACGAGGCCAGCGAGAAGAGCAGCATCTCATGGCCCTTGTCCCCCTGCCGCACATGCATGCTCACTATCGGCCGAAAGATAAACGGCTCTCCCCCGACCCCACCATCCATCATCCCGCCTGCACCACCACCACCTGCATCTGCGGCAGCACTGGAAACACTGTCGGCAGCGTCATCCGAGGCAGTGAGGAGGGCAGTTTGAGTGGCGGCCACGCGGAGGGCGACGCGGTAGCCATAGGTGTCGTGGCGGGCGCGGTTGAGGAGGTGACAGAGGTAGAGCGAGGGCCAGCGCAGCATGAAGCGCAGCGACTGCGAGCGCCACCACGACACCTGCAGGTAGCGGCCCTCGGCATCGAAGCGCCGCCCCAGCAGCTCCGTTGACACCTGCCTCTGCACCCATGGCGACCCCCAGTGGCTGCCATGGTGTACAATGCGGTGCAACGCGGTGTCATGTCAGTCAATGACAACATGCCAAGTACTGAACTGCCAGAGAGAACAATCTCAACACAGCCAACAACCAGTGGCAGAGCGAACTGCAGAAGCTGTGCGAATGCGTGCAGAGAGCAGAGGCAGAGGTGGCAAGAACATACAAGGCAGCGGAAGCCTCCTTGGCCATCTTGGCCTGGAAGCGAGTGACTCCGGGGAAGAACACGACCGGCAGATCTGACTGCAGCAGCTCGTTCAGTGCTGGCCCAGGGTCGGGCGGAGGGACGGGGTGTGAGGGGCCGTGCTCCTGCTGCTGCTGCCACAAGGAGAGCGCTTGCTGCTGGCAGGCGGGGGAGGTGAGCGGGAAGAAGTAGCAGGAGAGGGAGCCGTAGTCTGGCCCTGCACAGCACACGGGCATGGCATGTGGGGTGGCGTGGGGTGAGCCAGGGCTGTTGTCCGCTATGGCGGCTAGGCAACGAAACAAATGCACGTGGAGAATGAGAGCATGCATGGCAGAATGTATGCACTGCGTACACTCTGCAAGGAAACCTGCTAAGAAACCGTATGAGAGGCGAGGCCCCCCTTTTCCCCGTCCCCCCACCCCATTGCCCACACACCCGAGCAGGAGTTGTGTGCGGCGTGGGAGAAGGAGCCCGGGGCGGGCACGAGGACGCGGCCGTGGAAGAAGGCGAGGCTGAGCGCGGCGCTCATGATGTGCAGCTGCGACCCCAGCCCGTGGCCGCGCGGGTGCTTCCACTCCACCAGCAGGAAGCGCACGGGGGCGGCGGAGGATGAGGAGGGCGAGGAGGGGGAGCAGGAGGGGGGGAACTGGTGCAGCCAGAGGTCGGTCTGGGCGATGTGCGTGAGCGCCAGGTTGTCCTCGTCTGCCCCGCGGATCTGATGAGAGAGGGGACACCGGGAGGGGGTGTGGGGGTGAGGTGAACTGGGGGAGAGAGACGGCAACAGAGACTTGGAGGAGTGGTTGCTCGTGTGACGGGGATAGTGTGTGCAGAAGGAGATCGGAGGGAATTGGCACCAAGTGGTATTATGACACCCCTACGCCACCCACCCTCCCTCATTTCCTCCCTCCCTCCCCGCTCACCCATGGCGGAAGGGGCCCCTGCTGCCCCCCTTCCTGCACTTGCGCCCATGCAGGTGCGCTCATTTCCCCCCCTGCGTTTTGACTACCACCCCTTCTCCACTCCGCCTGCGCGCGCCGCCACGTCACCCTCGCGCAGTCCTCCAGATGCGGCGCGGGCGGCACGCTCACGCGCCCCTCTGCGCCCACGGCCACGTCAGCATCGGCGGGTGCCGCGGTGATGGCGGAGGCTGCAGCGGCGAGGGAGACGGGGAGGCGGACGGCAGGGGGAGGCGCGGTGAGGTTGGCGGAAAGGCCATACGCCGCGTCCCACGCCTGGATAATGGGGGCGGGGGGGGCAGGGGAGTCGCGGAAAGACGGGAGGTGGCGGGGAGAGTACCTGATGGGGACTGGGCCGGGGTGAAGGGGATGGGTAAAGAGTGGTGAGGAGATTGGCCCGAGGGGAGAGACAGCCGTTTCAGGCTGTTGCCTAGCGAAGCAACACCTCTATGCCCCTCACAGTGCCCCAATTCCCAACCACCCGATTCCTTTCGCATCCCCATTCTTTCCCCCACCATCCGCCATCTTCCCATGGAAGCATTACAGCCTCCCCTCCCTTACTCGCTCCCCCTCGCTTCCGCCATCACCACGGGCGCACATCGAAAAGCAGTTGCGCGTGCTGGTGACGTCCGCTCACGCTCGCTGCGCGCGCAGACCGGCCAATGCGACGCTGACACGTGAGAGCCAGCAAAAGAAGTGTAAGACGGTGGAAGAGATTTCTAGTCGACCCTCGACGACGATGAAAGAAGCAGCGGGCGACAGGAACTCTCCGTCGGTTCAGCTGCACTAGGGTGGTAGGTATGCTCAAGCACGGCCATGGCGTCGTGCGAGATGCCATGTTACGGCAGGCGCGGAGAGTTAGACTTTGGACGGCAGGGTCAGAGGAGACGAAGGGCCGAGTCGATGGGACAGACGACGAACGGCGGAAGCACGAAGGTAGACACGCGGGACGACAGCCGGACGTTGAAGACGGTGGAAGTGTGAACTGGAACTTCGGCATACTCGGCACAAGCTCTTTGTCTTGTGTTCGGCATTCACACGAATTCCTGCCTCTTGTTGCTGCCTTTGCCGGATTTTCATATACTTTGCTCACGGTACATACATAGTTATTATGGTAACTGGTAGTCTAGATTAGAATTCCATGTGGAAGAAAGTCATTTTTAGTAATTTAAATCCTGACATACAGCTGAATTTAATTATGTTTTGTTTAATTTATGGCTCTGGCTTTTATCAAGGAAATCTATATGATGTACAATATATATACATTAACCTTACATTGTAAGTGTAGCATATGCAAGGACAAATGGTTATGTTTGAGCGGCAGGGTAAAAAAGTCATGCTCGTCATTGTCCCGCCAACGTGGTCTCCTATGCTTGGCGGTTCGTCAGGCTCTGTGATTCTGGGTGCCTTGAAACGAGGAAACGTGCTGAACGTGGTCGCTGGTAACACATGGATCTTTCGCAAAGAAGGTCGTCATTATCGCAAATTCTGCTAACGAGGGATGGGTCAACATGTGCCGCCATTTGCGATGGCTCGCTCGCACCCCTCACCTCCGACGCGCGGGCGGCTCCACGGCAATTCCCGAAGCGAACAATTTGAGAGTCGAACATTTCGGGAGCAGTGGCGATGAGTTGTGAGCCTTGGGCCGTGGGCTGTGGGAGATTCGACTGTGCCCATTCACCCGTTGATTCCTCGCCTCTCCCTTCACCACTCTTCCCATCCCATACCATCGCTTCCACACCACAACCTCCTCTTGTTGTCCCCACCCAGGCCTGGTTGAATTCGTGAAAGCCAGCAACGAGTATACAAGCGGTTATGATGGAAGATTGACCTCTCCCACCAGCAGCAAGGAAGCGCTTGGTAGGCTATGCGGAGGCTCGTTGTTGCAAGTTGTGCTGTTAGCAGGTAGGAAGCATCTTAGAGGTAAACCGTGACGAACGATATAGCCGGCGTAAATTATTCTTCTTTGTGGTAGTGGGAGGATCCATGGCGGTAGGTCCAACGAGTCAGCCGCGCAGTAGCTGCTTCACGCTTCGCCTCTTAGGCAAACAGAAATCGACCAGGAGCAAGAGGCAGTCCACCGTGCATCCCGTGGGAGATCTCGCCGCTCACCCAGCGCCCGCCGCGGAACATCCACGTGGCGATGGTAGGAATGGCGCCGCGAGAGCTGGACGTGGACAGGTCGCAGGAGTAGAGATTCATACAGCCACAGCTGCGCCAGCAGTCGCTGTTCCACATAGTCATCGCGCGCAGAATGACTGTCCCGAAACCGACGACGGCAGGCGAGTGCAATACGCGCAGGATCTAGCAGCGGCGCCGCTAGAGCGATCACTAGAGCACGCCGAGCGAAGTCTTGTGGCAGCAGCCGTAGCTGGTGCTGCATCAACTTCGCCATGCGAATCATCGGCAGGAATTTCTGGGCAGCAGGTAGCGGCTGGAATTCGGCTGAAGCTGCATCGTGTGGAAGAGGAGCCGTCCAGTTCAGATGCGCCTGATGCTGTCCCCAAAGGCTCCTCCGCTGAGCATTCCAAGTATCTTGTCGCGCGCTCCTCGAGCAGCGACTTCTGCGACGATGCGCGATCCATGCAATCCTCGCGACGGCCGTCGCTCACCGGCGGGCGCAGCTACGAGAAGGCGCGGCGGGAGGGGCAGGAGCTGTACCGGCGGAAGGAGTACGCGGCGGCGACGGAGAGCTACGGGGAGGCGATGCTGGCGCTGCTGCGCGAGGCGGGGCGCGACGACGCGACGAAGCGGTCGCTGCAGGCCGTGCTCCTCGCCAACCGCGCCATGTGCTTCCGCTACCTGAGCAGGTCCGTGCACGTCGCCGATACCGCGTACATGGGTCCTAGAACCAATGAGCTGGTTCATCGCGCGGCGACGAGTCAGCGGGTTTCCGCGTAGATGGATCGACAACTCTCTGAACAATAACATCTAGCCCCCTTTTTAATATTTCCTGGTCGACCTCCTAAAGAGGCTGACCGGAGATCAGGCGCCACGACTTGGATGAGATAAACTCAAATCACAGCATGGATCGTCATCTCGTGGTGTTGCTACTGCCGCGCTAATTTGCTGCCCATACGGATCGCAGCCGCGTTCCTTGTTTCCCCGTCATACCGCTAAGAGCGCTTTGATCTGTCGCACAAGGTACTGTCGTCGACTCTTGGCAGCCCACTTGCGCAGATCGCGCACTTCATCTCTCCCCCAAAATGCCCTTCTTGGCCATGTGATACCCCCCACCCGTCGCGCAGGAACGAGGAGGCGATACGCGACTGCCACGCGGCACTGGCGTCCGACTTTTGCGCGGGCCAGACGCTGCTGCACATCGAGGAGGTTCTCGAGGAATGCGGCGACCTTCGCGGCGCGCTCGCGTGCCACGTGGCGTCCGTGCAGCGCGCGCTGGACGAGCGGCCGAGCGGCGAGATTCCCACGGAGGAGGCGACGGAGGTGGAGCGCGTGCGACGGCAGCTGATTGGCGAGCGAGAGCTGGCGATTCAGTGGAAGAAAGTTCCCGCCAAGGGCAAACCGCCGCTTGGCGCGCAGATGTCGGCGGTGGAGTGGCGCGGGCAGGTGATTCTGTTCGGCGGCACGGACCGCAGCCACAACCTGCTGCCCAACGACCTCCACATCTTCGATACGTACAAGTCCGAGTGGCTGCTCGTCCACATCCCCGGCCTGCGCCCCGCCGCGCGCGCCGGCCACCGCGCCGTGGTCCACGGCGACTGCATGTACGTCTGCGGCGGCGGCCACTCGACGGATTTCGATATGTGGCGGCTCGATCTGGTGACCATGGACTGGGAGCCCGTGCCGGCCGCGCCGGGGCTGCCGGCCGGGTCGACCGAGGACGAATCAGATCAGCGCTCCGACGAGCATCCCGCGAGCTTGGCGGGACAGGAATTGGCGACGCGGGGCCAGGCGCCGCCGGGATTGGTGCAGCACAGCGTGTGCGTCGTTGACGGCCGGCTGCTTGTTTGGGGCGGCTTCGTTGTCGGCCGGCCGCCGCTCGAGCGGCACGCTAACCGGCAGCACCTGTACGAGTTCGACTTCGAGACGGGCGAATGGCGGCGCGACACGTGGCAGGGGGACTACCTCCCGAAGGCGTATCAGGACCGCGGCGTGGGCACGTGCGCGGGCGTGGCGAGTTGCAGAGAGGGCGGCAGGAGCGAGTCGGTTGAGATCATGTCGTTCTTCGGAAGCCGCAAGACGCTCGTGCCGCGATCCGGGCTCATCATGGACGAGTCGACCGCCACCGTCGATCGCCTCCTGCTGGGCGAGCGCCGATGGCAGCCCGTGCCGCTGCTCGGGCCGCGCGTGCCTGCGGCGCGGTCGGAGGCAGCGTTCTTGTCGCTGCCGGATTACGCGGCGACGCTGTGCGTGGGCGGGTACTACGAAGGTAAGGCGCTAGCCGTGTGGCGCTGCCTTCTCGTGGGGCCTTGTGGTGCTCTTGTCCCTCCCAAGCGCGATTCACCTTCTCATTCCCCCTTTCGTCCTCTTGCCTCTCTGTGTTCCCCCCATCAGGCGCGATTCACCGCGACGGGTGTCGGTACTACGGCGACGCGTGGCTGTGGCACCACGACCTGGGCATCTGGTCGCCGCTCGCCGCCAAGGGCGACGACTTCCGCGCCGGCGCGCACTTCTGGCTCGTGCAGCGCAACGACGGCGCCGTCTTCGTGGGCGGCGGCTTTTGCGGCACGCCCATGTGAGTGAAGCGCGAGGGGGCACGCCCATGTGAGGGGCGGCTTCTGCGGCACGCCCATGTGAGTGAAGCGCGAGGGGGCACGCCCATGTGAGTGAAGCGCGATGGGGCATGTGAGTGAAGCGCGATGGGGCATGTGAGTGTTGCGCGAGGGGGCATGTGAGTGTTGCGCGAGGGGGCATGTGAGTGTTGCGCGAGGGGGCATGTGAGTGTTGCGCGAGGGGGCATGTGAGTGTTGCGCGAGGGGGCATGTGAGTGTTGCGCGAGGGGGCATGTGAGTGTTGCGCGAGGGGGCATGTGAGTGTTGCGCGAGGGGGCATGTGAGTGTTGCGCGAGGGGGCATGTGAGTGTTGCGCGAGGGGATTGCGGGAGCTGGGGAGATGTGCTGGGTGCACCGCGAGGAACTCGGTAAATGCGTCTTCCCGCTCACAAACAACCCAGCCCCTTTTTCCCCCTCTCCTTCCCCCACTCCCCGCTGCTCCCTGCAGCACGACCATGTTCGGAGCGGTCTACGAGGCCACCATCGCTGCGCCCAAAGTGCGCCGTCCGCCGCCCCCGCGCGCCCCTGCGCGCTCCCTTCCCCTCGCCCACCCCATCCCGCCCGGCTCCCCGCTCCTAGCTCTCCCCGCGCCCCCTTCCGCCGCGCCCATTCTTGCGCTCCCCTGGGGCTCTTCCCCTTCCCCTGGGCGCGGAACTTCCGCCTCCTCCTCCCCCTCCCCCCCGCCGCACTCCTCCCCTCGTCCCCTCTCCGCTTGCTCCTCCTCCTCCTCCCTGCGCACGCCCGGCACGCCGCTCATGCCCATCGTGCGCTCCGCGTCCGCCGCCGCGTTCCGCCAAGGCGCGCGGTCGAGCGCGCACGGGGAAGGGGAGAAGCTGGGCGCGGCGGGGGGAATGGTCGTGATGAGCCGCTGCAACACCCTCCCCGCGCAGTACTCTCCGCCAGGCGGGGGAATGGCGGGGGGAGAGGGCGGCGCGGGCGCGGGCGGAGGCTTCAGCGCGTGGGACGAGCGGCAGCTGGCGCTGGGATCCGCTGACGTCAGCACGGAGCATCACGACGCGAACGTGCGGTTCAAGGCGAAAGAGGAGGCGCCGTTCGAGGCGCCTTTGGGACCAATCAACATCAAGATTCTTAAGCTCGAGTTTGAACGACGGGTGAGAGCAACATGCACCAACTGGAACGACATCTTGTCAAAAGGCCTTACTTACTTGAATAATGCCTAGAGAATCCCGTCCTTATCCACCCATTCCTGTTCTCTTCCGCATCCGCCTCGCCCCCTTGCTCGTTTTTTGCAGCGTGAGAACCGGCTGAAGACGAAAGCAGAGATGGCGGCGGCGGGTGCAATGGCGGCGATGCGGCGCGTGAGGGCGCAGCAGGCGGACCAGATGGGCGCAGGGGTGGCGCAGTCCCTGATGCTGCACGTGCGAATGAGACAAATCGACCCGCCCATCTGGAGGTGAGAAGGGGGAGAGGCAGGGTTTGATGATGGCTGCTTCATTTTTTATAATCACAAGTGAAGCGTGGTCATCCCAAGTTGATGCTGTCCTCCTCCCCTCGTTGCTCACATGCAATCCAATCCCATCCCATGGCATCCCATGTCATGCCACGCCATGCACGCATCAGGCGAGCGAGGTGCCAGGCACATGACGCTACATTCCATGTTCGGCCATATCATCCCATCAGTGCCATCCCATCTCACCCCACCCCACCCCACCCCACGCCACCCCACCCGGCCCCACCCCATCCCGTCCCACCCCGTGGCACTGCGCCATCAGGCGAATGGAGGTGTCGGGGCACATGACGCTCCGCCAGTTCCACAAGCACGTGCTGCGCCTCTCCATGGGCTGGGCCAGGTGCGTCCCCAGGTTCAGGTGCGTCCCCAGATTCAGGTGCGTCCCCAGGTTCAGGTGCGTCCCCAGGTTCAGGTGCGTCCCCAGGTTCAGGTGCGTTCTCAGGTGCTCAGCCTCAGGTGCGTCCTCAGGTGCTCAGTTGCGGCCTCAGGTGTTTAGGTGCGTACTGGGGAGCACAGAAACACATCGTGACTTGATCATCATTTCCTATTGCCCATTGTTGCTCAATCCCAGTCCATCCCCCATACCCATTACCAACCCCATCCTCTCATGCCCATGCCCATCCCCCCCCTCCACAGGGATCATCACGCCTACAAGTTCCGGTCCTCCTCAGGCCCGTGCCCTGGCGTGTGGTTCGGGCCGACCCTGTCTGCCGCACCTGACTTCGCCCTGGCGCGCATGCTGGGGCAGGGCTTGGCGGACGACAACTGTGTGCTGCTGGGGGAGATGCTCGTCAAGGTGAGCACGAGGGGCTGGCAGAAAGGGGGGGGCGATTTTGCTTACATGGTGCAACTGCTATTGTCAGATGCTGGTGCAATTGTATATGGAGCTCGCATTCCCCATTTCCTGTTCCATGCCATGCCTGCACCACCCATTCCTGCACCATCCACACCTTGCCCCATCCCACAGGAGGGAGACCGTATGGCGTATGTGTATGACCTCACAGACCGCTGGGAGCATGAGATCGTGCTGCTGCACGCCACACCCGGCCCGCCACACCGCCCTGTCAGTGCCCTTCCCCTTCCCTCTGATTGATTTATCTCTGGAATTCCTATTTTTGCTGTTTGTACTTTGAGTCAATTTTACCTGGCCTAGGATTATATTCTTTTACATCCTCGCAACCTCATGTGCGTGCAATGCCTGTCAAGCGTGTTGGTTTGCTCGTGCCACTGCTGACCCTCCTCGCACTCCCCCCGCCGCCCCCTCCCCTTTCCTTTCTCTCCCTTCATCCTGCTCTTCTCCTGGATGGCGGCACACAGCTGAGAGCGGAGGTGGTGGATGGGTGGGGGGCATGTCCCCCGGAGGACGTGGGAGGAATGGGGGGCTACCTGCGGCTGCTGGAGAGAGTGCGCAGCAGCCATGGCAGCAAGCGCGATGCCGCGTGCACACGGGTGCTACGGGCCGCTAATAAGAGCCACCTTGACTCGTTTGACCCCACGTGAGTGCCTTGACTCGTTTGACCCCACGTGAGTGCCTTGGCTCGTTTGACCCCACGTGAGTGCCTGATGTGTGCTTGCCTGCTGTTTTTTCTGCAATGGCCAGAGCCATGCGCTCATTTGACATCATTCTCATTGATCGAATCTACTACCATCCCATTCCCACCCGTCTTCACTCCTCGCTCTTCCCATCCTCCCCTCCCCTCCCCACCTTGTTCCACCCTACAGCAATTTCCCTCTCAACGCCTGCAGAGCAGCTTTGGAGAAGCACCTGGCATCAGCGACTCTCACCCCGCCATCCAACCACCTCGACCCTGTCGCTGTCACCACCCACCCCGCCCCCGCCCTCGCCTCCCCCTCTCCCCTCGCCCCCCTCCAACGCTCCAAGTCCTTCTCCCTCACCCGCCCCTCCTCCACCAGCCCCCACCACTCGCACACGCCACATCAGCTGCCACATCAGCAGCACCGACACCATCAGACCGCCAGGTCACCGCACCGTGGCAGCAGCCCCCACCGCAGCCCTCGGCCAATCACAAGCAGCTCGAGCTTCGGCAGCAGCGTCAGCAGCAGTAGCAGGGGGGGTGGATCCAGGGGTGGCGGAGCAGGAGGAGGGGGGACACGGGGAGTAGTAGCAGGGCCGATACTAGCGCAATCCGTGCCTCCCCTGAATCTACCTCCCCCTGATTTCGCGGGGCGCAAGGCGTGTCAGGCGTGTGGGTCGAGCAAGGCGGAGGTGGCGTGTGAGAGGTGCCACCGGGCCTTCTATTGCTGTGTGGAGCATCAGCACATGGACTGGAAGCTTGGCCACAGGCTCGTGTGCGTGGCCGTCGAGGAGGTGCGGTGAGGTGCCGAGCGGTACGGATGAGGTGATTTCGGCTTGGAATGCTTCTGAACTGGCAGACGTGGTTTAATTGGTGCTTTACTTGGTGTTGTTGGCTCTAAGCAACACAAGAGAAAGTAGTTGGGAGTAGACTGGAATGTTGGATAGAGGCAAATGCTTAGTATCAAAGGGATATTTGAGGTATGGCTGCAAACAATAGAGGCAAATACCCTTTTGGCGTATTGTCTGGATGCATCAAGTCTATAATATGGACTCCAATAATGTCAATGTTGGTATTATTATACCACCAGAATAATCCTTGTTGGTACATCTTTGTTGGTACATCATGTTGGTACATCTTTGTTTGCGAGTGCTACTACTCGCTATAGAGGCCAGTCCATATCCCAGTTCACACTCACGAGCCCATTTCTAGGTTTTCCGAGGAGGCTGGTGGCGAGGTGAGGGGGGAAGGAGGGAGAGAGAAGCCATAAAAGCCGACGGAACTGACAAGCCCTGCAAACTCGCACACGCAGCTTCCAGCGCGACACGGCCAAGGGTAGTGTGGTTCTTGAAGCTGCTAGGTTCTCAGCTGCAGCCTTCACCCTGTTCAGTTCTTGCTTGGGTGTCGATCGTTTTACGCGGTTCGGACATAGTAACACGTCTCTCGCCAGCGCCGCGTAATTTGCGAACGTGATCTTTGTCGCAAGGGCGTTGTTTAAGTCGCAAGCTTCGTTTTAGTAGAAGTCGCGAGCGTCGTACAAGCCGCGATGACGACGGCAGCGCGGCCGACATGGGCGCCGGCCAAGGGAGGCGAGGAGCAGGGCGGGTCGCGCATATTCGGGCCGAGCCAGAAGTACTCCGCTAGAGACGTCGCCAGCCACGAGAGCCTGAAACCCAGGTGCGGGACTTAGAGACGTCTCTAATTCAAGCTCTAGCATGCTGAGGCCAAGCCAGCATCATTCCGGTTGAGACGTCACGACGCTCACGAGTCGCTTATTAGACGCGCGTCGGAACCTCAAATAGGCGATTTATATTGTGATACTAGGTACCCTGTAAAAGATACCGTCAGGCAGCTCGCTTCATATCCGTTAATCAATCGTTTGTGTCCAAATATGGCGTGTGTTGGTACATGGCACGCGGCCGCGTGGTGGCGTGCGGTGGAGCAGGAGGGAGGGGCAGGTGACGAAGGAGGAGGTGAAGCGGCGGGACCTGCGGGGGGAGCTGGAGGAGCGCGAGAGGCGGCACTTCGCCGCTAAGGACAAGGAGCAGCAGCTGCGCACCGACGACCGCAAACGAACCACCGGGTTGCTGTTACCAGGTAATGGCCGCGAGCTTGTTCGCAGCAGCGCGGTTTGGTGGGCGGCGATCCTTGCGTGTGCGTTCCGCGTGCTTGCGTAGTTGCTGACTGTTCTTCGTGTGCATGATGCATGCTGCGTGGGTGCATAGGTGCAGGCGGGGCGTTGGGAGGGCGGAAGGAGGTGGAGGAGCGGTTGATACCCCGAGCAGCGGATGCAGACGACTCCGATGGAGAGGACAGGCGGGGCGGCGGGGGTGATGACGAGGATGAGGACGATGATGACGAGGACGATGACGAGGATGACACCATGGAGCTGCTTGCTGAGCTGGAGAGAATCAAGAAGGAGCGAGCGGAGGAGAAGCTGCGCAAGGTATGTGGCGTCCCATGCGGCCGCCTATGTGGTTGTGTGTGCTGCACATGTGTGTCCGCACTGCATGCCATGCCCTGCCATGAATCGTTTTCAGAGTTCACGAAGGGTGCACTTGAATGCACACCCATGGGCTTCTCGCGCTTGCATTGAATGTGTCAAGCCTGTTTTGTCCATCTCTGGTTCGCCTCTCCGCCCTGCTGCCCGCCCTCTGCACCCCCATGCGGTGCATGTGAGCAGGAGAAGGAGCAGGCGGAGCAGGAGGCGAAGGCGAGAGAGAAGGAGATGGCACGCGGCAACCCCATCATGGCTGCTGGGGGCTCTGCCTTTGCTGTCAAGCGCAGGTGAGGACGGGCCAGGGGTGTGTGGGCGACAGGGGTGTGAGCGAAAAGGGTGTGGGCGAGGCAGCATGGCAGCATGGCTGCACAAGCCTTCTTGCTTGCATGCAATTCATCCGTATCCGTGGTCATCCGCTGCCTCCTGTCATTCATCCTCACTGCCCTTGCTTGCCATGCTCTCCCCCGCACCAGGTGGGACGACGACGTGGTGTTCCGCAACCAGGCCAAGGACGAGCAGAAGCCCACCAAGCGGTTCATCAACGACACCATTCGCAGCGACTTCCACCGCCGCTTCCTCAACAAATACATGAAGTAACGCGCTTGCTTGCACTGGTGGATGCTTCTCTTTTCAACCTGAAGTTACAGGGTCACCTACCACACCACCATTCGCAGCGACTTCCACCTCCGCTTCCTCAACAAATACATGAAGTAGCAGCTGGCCCTTTAAACGGCATCGCAAACAAGTGCATTGCAAACACGTGCACCTCGCCCATTCACCCTGTACATGTGCTCGATATGTGCAATGTAATCCCCTGGGTCTGGCCTCTGTTTGGGTTTTTGTGTTCCGACTGACTGAGTGAAGGCTCTGCCAGGAATGTCACACCACAAGCAGGAGCAGTGGAGATTTGAGCATACTCGTATGGAAATTGGTAAAGAGAACTAACACTTTATTCTACTACCAAACTGTTTTACTATAATAGCAGCCACATAAAGACATCTTTATGCTCACTCTACCAACATTCACTACACTACACAGCGTTTGCTACATGCTCTACACACAAATATAAAGAATAGCCTATATTGTTACTAAAGTCTCACCCGAGACAAACAACAGTCTCCCGGTGAGGCGCATGAAACAGAAAAACTGCAGCTGCCAGTCACAGCAGCTGCATGCTTGTGTGTGGCAGAACGGCATGGTCTGTGAACGGCAATGGTATCATCGCCTCATTCAACCACACTCCACACACTCCAACAGTTACACCTGCTCAGCAGCCGTATTGGAATGGAACACAGGAACCAATGACGTCCACGGCTGCTGAGATGACGTTTAGGGCTGCTCAGATGTCGCCAACGCTCTCTCTCCTCAGCTGCTCACAGCAGCCGTGCCCCCACGCCTACAAGGGCCACACGCACGCCACCTGTGTGTCTCGGGATTCCTTTACCCCCAGCCGCCTTTCAAGCAGCCTTCCAGTAGCCGCTGCCACGTGTGTCGACCTCATCCCCTCACAGGCACACCCCAAAGCAGCCTCACAGGCACACCCCAAAGCAGCCTCACAGGCACACCCCAAACCAGCAGCACGTGGGACTGCAACCCCTCAGACCCTCCTCTAAGTAGCTGCAGCACCCCCCGCGGCCTTCTCTGCGGCCTCCTTGGCCTTGGAGTCACGCTGCTGCTGAGCCACCTGCGCCACTGTGTGTGCCATGGCCTGGTGGGTAAAGTCCAGCGACCCCATCAGACTGCTGAACCGCGCCGGGTCCGATGCTTGCACCCCTGGTTATGGGAGGAGTGGGGAGGGGTGGGGAAGGGTGGACAAAGTGGGGCAGGAGGGCCACCAGGGGTGGGGAAATGGCAGAGGGAGGGGTATGGATGGGGAGAAGAGGGAGAGGAGAGAGGGAGGGTCGGGTGCAAGGGGATCAGGGAGCAACATATGTCTGCTTGCTGTCGTGGTGTTGGCGCACAGAATGGAAAACACTGAGTGGATGAGCGAGAGCTTCAAGCAGTACAAAACACTGTGCCAATCCCACCAGCCATAGCATGCTGTGAGTATGAGGCACACGGAGGGAGGCAGTGCTCACCAGCCATGATGTCGGAGAAGGGGATGAAGGGGTCAACGTTATCAATGTGTGTGAGCATCTCATCTGCCTTGCTGTGTGTATGAGCCACAACAGGCACTCCATGCCCTCTCTCTCACAAGCCATGCTGTGAGCATGAGGCACATGAGGCAGTGCAGGGCATCTCACCAGCCATGATATCGGAGAAGTGGATGAAGGGGTCGACGTCATCAATGGGCGTGAGCATCTCATCCTCGTCCGACCAGAAGCCCTCATCGTCCTCGTCCTCCTCCTCGTCCCCATCCAACATCTTGTGCGCCTGCCATGCCATGCCATGCCAAGAAAAAGAGCAGAGCACACAACGATTGAGGGCACAACAGGGCAGGGCAAGGCACATATGGCAGGCAAGCACCAAGGCATGTGTGGCAAGGTGACACGCAGCTATGACATGAAAGTTGAAGGTGTCACCCGGCAGCACACTGCAACTCCCCCTTTACATCGCCCATACTACAAGTAATTCAAGTAAATTGCACCAAGGCATGTGTGGCAAGGTGACACGCAGCTATGACATGAAAGTTGAAGGTGTCACCCGGCAGCACACTGCAACTCCCCCTTTACATCGCCCATACTACAAGTAATTCAAGTAAATTGCACAAGTGAAGGAGGAAGGCGCAGCAAGAGAGCCAGCAGCATGGCTGTGTGACGGACCTTCTTGATGGCCTTCTTCAGCTCTGAAGACTCCTCCCCTTCCTCCTCCTCTTCCTCCTCATCCTCATCCTCCTCCCCCCCATCACCCATGCCATCCTCGCCCTCCTCGTCATCATCCTCGTCCTCTGATTCCAACTCCGCGGCTGCTCACACATGCAACGAGGGCCAGGGAGGGGGTGGCAGCAACAAATGGGTGGGGGAAGGACTGATTTGGGCAGCTTCATCGAAACACTCACCCTCCTGCTGCTCCTAACAGTCCACTCACTCGCCTGCTGCTCCTTGTATGCCACCAGCAGCTGCAGCACGGCCTTGCAGCCTCACACTTACCTTATTGCTACGTTGCACTCACTCAATTCTAGTCACTCCCCCTCCCCCGCTCACTCACCCTCGTGCTGCTCCTTGGACGTCACGAGCAGCTGCAGCACGGCCTTCCTGCTTCACAATGAGCAAATTCCTTGCTCTCACTCGCTTTTTAGTCACTCATCCTCCCTCCGCCCCATTCAGTCACTCACCCTCGTGCTGCTCCTTGTACGCCACGAGCAGCTGTAGCACCGCCTTGGCGAATTCGCCCTGCAGAGGTGCCACCGATGCCGGGAGCGCAACCGTGGGCAGTGAGAGCAGCGACACCAGGCCCAGAATGCACACCTTCTTGTCGTGCTGCCTGTGGCCGGGGGAACGGGAGGGAAAGAAGGTAAGGGGGGGGTTGGTTTGGGTCAATGTGAAGGACAGGAAAGACACTAACGGAAAAGAAAACGGAAAGGAAAAAAGAAAAAAACCACTGAATTTACAGGTTCATGCACGAATCCTTGCTCTGACCTCTTGAAGTGGAGGCGCTTGCTGGTGGTCTGGCTCTTGGCCTGCAGCATGGTGAGCCACGTCTGGAACACCCCTGCCGTCGCCCCCATGCCCTCCAGCGCCTGCAGTGTGAGCTGCGCGTTGTAGTATAGCCCGTTGGCCACAACCTGTGGGGGAGAGAGAGCGGTGGGATTGGATGAGTAGTGGTATCAAATACCAGCCAGCATACCACCGTAAAAATTAACTGTTGCCTGTGGCAGGACTAGCGGAAACACGCGCACAGACAGCAGCAGCACTGGCACTCACACTGACCTGCATGGGGAGGAGCAGCAGCAGCACCACCGCAAGCACACACACGGACCTGCATGAGGAGGTCTTTGAGGTGGCGCAGGGAGGCCTTGTTGTGGCGCGAGCGGGCGAGGTGCAGCAGGAGCAGTGCCAGCAGCAGCAGCAGGGGCAGCAGCAGGGGCAGCAGCAGGGGCAGCAGCAGGGGCAGCAGCAGGGGCAGCAGCAGGGGCAGCAGGAGCAGTGGCAGCAGGGGCAGCACCAGGGGCAGCAGCAGCAGCAGGGCAGCAGCAGCAAGGGCAAGCACGGACCTGCATGAGGAGGTCCTTGAGGTGGCGCAGAGAGGCCTTGTTGAGACGCGTGAGGGCGAGCTGCAGGTACAGCGGCAGCCACGCGTCCACCCGCCCGCGGCAGTTGAGCAGCACCACCTCCATCAGCTTCGGCGCTGGTACCACATCCCGATCGCTGATGTCGTCGTCGCTCAATAGCTGGGAAGGCAAGGGAAGGGAAGGCAGAGGGTGATACTGCGGTGAGTCTAGGGCAAGGAGAGGGCTGTGTGCGAGTCATGGGGGACAGTTGAGCAGCACCACCTCCATCAGCTTGGGTGCTGGTACGACGTCCCGATCGCTGATGTCATCGTCACTCAACAACTGCGAGGGCACGGGAAGGGAGAGGGCGATAAGGGGTGAGTGGGAGGGCAAGGGAAGGGTTGCGCCCGAGACCTTGAGCAGCACCAAGTGCATGAGCTTCGGTGCTGGCACCACGCCCCGGTCCTTGTAGGAGCAGGTGATGGGGTGGTGGCAGGTGGTGATGGGAGGGTGGCAGCTGGTGCAAAACGGCCTTTGCTACACCAGTCCGTGCTCTCTGCATGCCCACTGCCCTGCAGACTGCACCGTACCTTGGAGAGCAGCTTCCAGAGCGAGTCGGGGTAGTTGGGGTCGGGGCATGTGAGGAAGTGGTCTGTGCCACGCGATATGAAGTTGTCCAACGGGTCCAACGCATCTGCACGGGGGGGACACATGGGGATTAGGACAACAGGAAAGGGGGGCGGAGGTGAGGTGAGGAGCAATGATGCACGTCTCCTAGGAAGCATACGTGGGGTGAAGGGCTAGGTACGATGCAGGATAAGGGGCGGGATCAGCCAGGGAGCAGGGAGCAGGATGGGGCCGTACACTCAAAGAAGTCGATGGCGAATTCGTTGAGGGAGGAGAGGATGAGCGGCCAGATGGACCAGAGGGCGGGCGAGATGGATGGGCTGTAGTACGTCATGTATGTGGCTATCTCCAACACCTCCTCGTACAGGTCTGCCATGCCATGCCGCATGCGGGATAGGTGGAGAGGGAGGCAGTGAGGCACACAATGGGGGATACAATGAGAGAGACAATGAGATGGATGGGCTGTAGTACGTCATGTATGTGGCTATCTCCAACACCTCCTCGTACAGGTCTGCACATGCCATGCCATGACATGCCATGATTGCTATGTGCCCCATGCCATGCCATGCCACGCAATGAATGGAAGGAGAGGGAGACAATGAGACGGTGCCGCACTGCTGTCACTAAACCTTCCGAACCGGCCACCATGCCAGAAGAGGTGTGACCCCCAACCAACCCCACCTTGGCCATCGCACCCATCCAGCTGTGCCCCAAACTCTCACCTTGGCCATCACACCCATCCAGCTGTGGCCCAAACTCTCACCTTGGCCGTCAGACGTGACCATCTTGTGCAGGATGGGCAGCAGCGTGGGCTCCAGCTGCGGGAAGAGGTGCGGCAGCGAGGAGATGGACTCCAGCACCGTGCCCATGGCGCGCAGACACCCCGCTGCTGCCAGCGCACTCATGTCATCCACCGCTTCCTCACTCTCTCCTCCCTCTGCTGCCTCTGATGACCGCACACACTTCCAGAACGCCGCCGCCTGCCGTGGTGGGGTGGTGGTGAGGTGAAAGGATGGGATAAGGAGAGATGGAATACAGGCATGGCCATGGCCGTGGATCATGCTGCTCTCTGAGAGAGATGGAGTGATGAGCATGAATCGACAGCCAGGACGGGCACGGGCGGACAGGCATGGTAGAGGGGGAGGGCGGGCGGGGCCAGGGGGGGACGTACGAGGTTGTGGATGAGGCCGACGGCGAAGGGCGACATCTCCTCGCCAAACTTCTCCACGATCACCTCCAATGTGAACACCAGGTCCTCGTTCTCCACCTCGTGCATCAGCTTGAAGAAATCTGCAATGGTTGGGGGTGGTGACAAGGGGTGGAGAGCGGTGAGAGTGGTGTTAGGGTGAACACCAGGTCCTCGTTCTCCACCTCGTGCATCAGCTTGAAAAAGTGTGTTGAAAGTGGTGACAAGGGGTGGAGAGCGGTGAGAGTAGTGCTAGGGTGGGCACACGCGGTGTGGCAAAAGGTGGAGTGAGGTTAATGCAGCAGAGAAAGAACACGGAGATAGCAATGCGAGGGCATGGAAAAGGAGGCAGGATGAGGGGTAGGCAGGGACTGGTAGGCAAGGCAGATTGTAAGCACACGCGGTTAGGTAGGAGCGGCAGTAAATGGGGAAGCATGAGACAAGGATGGTCTTCAGGCATGGCAAAGGGGCATGAGAAGCGAGGGCATACCGTCAAGCAGATTGGGAATGATGGGGCGCAGCTGGTCCAGGTCTGCACACAGGGAGGCAGGGGTGTGGGAGTATGGGCGGTGGAGAGGTGTTAGCGTGGATCAAGAAGGATGCATGGGGGGATGGTGAGGGATAAAGAGGGGCGAAGATGCATGGAGGGAGATGGGACGGAGAGCATGTGGAGGAGGGAAAAGCACGCAAGGCATAATAGCAACAAGCAATTGTTTCCCATCCTTGCCTGTTACATTCGGCAGAGATTTAACTTAAGGTTTGCTGCTTTTGAGCCTGCTCCTAGCAGTGCCTGCCTCTCACTCACCTTCACATGCGTCCACAAAGGAGCGCAGCGCCACGACAGCGTCAACGCGCACGGGCAGCTCAGGGTCGTGCATCCCCCCAGTGCCCCACACACTCACACGCGTGCTTCACCTCTCACATGCCCTTCATACTCTCACCTTCACACGCGTCCACAAAGGAGCGCAGCGCCACAACCGCGTCCACGCGCACGGGCAGCTCAGGGTCGCGCAGCAGCCCCACCACCGCCTGCAGTGCGCCCCCAAAGTGCGCCGGGTTGCTGAAGGGGATGTCCGCGTACTGCCCCGCCACCCACGCCGCCTGAGGAGCACAGGACGGATGGGGAGGATGGGGAAGATCGGGAGAATGGGGAGGATGGGGAGGATGATGCTTAGGATATACAATGACCACCAGACGCCCTTCCCAGAGGTTTTTCTTAAAGGCTCCAATGCCCAGCCTCCCTCTACCACTCCTTCACTTCCACCATGCTCTTCTCACAACCCCCCTTAGCCATCTCCTCCCCACGACAACCATCCACTCGATTCCTCCAGCCCGTGGTCACCATGCCACAGAGGAATTGAGCAGGTGATTCGATTGAAAGCACACCTTGGCGCGGAGGAAGGCGCAGGGGCTGGTGAAATCAGGGAAGACGTGCGTGAGCAGCATGTGCTCCAGCTGCGCCTTGTAGCTTGGCGCAGGGGCTGGTGAATTGGTAGAACTTCATCCAATTTAAAGCCCACCTTGGCGCGGAGGAAAGCACAGGGGCTGGTGAACTCGGGGAAGACGTGCGTGAGCAGCATGTGCTCCAGCTGCGCCTTGTAGCTTGGCGCAGGGGCTGGTGAATTGGTAGAACTTCATCCAATTTAAAGCCCACCTTGGCGCGGAGGAAAGCACAGGGGCTGGTGAACTCGGGGAAGACGTGCGTGAGCAGCATGTGCTCCAGCTGCGCCTTGTAGCGCGCCGTGCCCTGCAGCTTCTCATGCAGCGCGCCTATCGCCAGCAACGCCCCGTCCTTCTGCCGCGCCTGCGCCGCCTTTTGATCCGGTGCCGCCTCGTTGTACCTGCTTCCCCAACGTGGCATGGGTGGCATGGGCAATAAGGGCAATGAGGGTGCTGGGTGCCTGAGGTGGTGACCGTTGAAACAGGAACAAGAAGAAGGCTGTCCATGTTGCTTCAGCTCTGAGCGTGCTGGCACACGATGCACTGCCCAGCGTGCTGGCACACGATGCACTGCCTAGCGTGCTGGCACACGATGCACTGCCCAGCGTGCTGGCACACGATGCACTGCCCAGCGTGCTGGCACACGATGCACTGCCCAGCGTGCTGGCACACGATGCACTGCCCAGCGTGCTGGCACACGATGCACTGCCCAGCGTGCTGGCACACGATGCACTGCCCAGCGTGCTGGCACACGATGCACTGCCCAGCGTGCTGGCACACGATGCACTGCCCAGCGTGCTGGCACACGATGCACTGCCCAGCGTGCTGGCACACGATGCACTGCCCAGCGTGCTGGCACACGATGCACTGCCCAGCGTGCTGGCACACGATGCACTGCCCAGCGTGCTGGCACACGATGCACTGCCCAGCGTGCTGGCACACGATGCACTGCCCAGCGTGCTGGCACACGATGCACTGCCCAGCGTGCTGGCACACGATGCACTGCCCAGCGTGCTGGCACACGATGCACTGCCCAGCGTGCTGGCACACGATGCACTGCCCAGCGTGCTGGCACACGATGCACTGCCCAGCACATGAGCCACCACGCCGTGTGCTTGCTCTCATCCCAGGCACCAGCATGCACCATGCAGCAGCACTGACCGGTTGAGGATGAGCACAAGCGCGGCAATGAAGGGGTCGAGCGTGTCCTTGCTCCTCTTCGTCACCAGCTCCGCCAGGAAGTTGAGTGCCGCTGTGCGCGCACTGTACATGTCCTCTATGATGTCTGCCGAGGGGGGGAGAGAGGGGGGGGGGAGGGGTGGGGTGGAGGGGGAAGGAATGAGGGCCGAGATAGGGGGGAAGTTGAGTGCCGCTGTGCGCGCACTGTACATGTCCTGTATGATGTCTGGGGTTGGGGGGAGTGGAACCAGGGGAAGAAGAAATAAGGTGAAGTCGGTTGGGGAATGGAATGGGTAGATGGAGTGAGGGACAGAATCAGGGAGGTGAATGGCGGGTTAGTTGGTTGGGAATTGACATGAACAGCTTCATCCGTTTCTTCCTTACCCCCCCAATGCACCACAGCGCTCCCTCCCGTTCACTCACCATATCCCACCTCCCCTCTCCTCCCACACATGCTGTAACCTTGCGGACGTATTTGAGGGGACTGTTGGTCCACACAATCCCCTCTTCCCGCCCCTTCACCCACCGTAGCCTTTGCGCACGTATTCGAGGGGGTTATTAGCCCAGAGCAGTGCATCGTACCCCTGCCCCCCCATCCCCTTCCCTCTTCCCCACACACCGTACTCTCCCCTCCCCTACCCACCATATCCCTTGCGGACGTATTCGAGGGGGTTATCAGCCCAGAGAAGGGCGTCGTGGTCGTTGAAGCACAGCAGCGGGAACGCATGTTCCACTCTCCCCCCCTCCCCCCTTACTCACCATAGCCCTTGCGGACGTATTCGAGGGGGTTGTCGGCCCAGAGCAGGGCGTCATGGTCGTTGAAGCACAGCAGCGGGAACGCCACCTCGAACTGCAGCACCTGCAGATGCGGCTTCAGTGACTCGTACAGCGCCTTCTTTGACAGACTGGTGTCACGCACACATGCACACATGGGGACAGGCCGACGAGGGATGAGCGAGCTAGGCTGGTTATTGGGTGCGGACAATGGGAAGAACCATTTACGACAGTGGAAAGGCATGGGGCAACAAGAATGGGACACCGTTGCGTGGCATGCTGTTGTTGCCAAATCCATGGCATCATGCAAGTGCGCACGCATGCACGCGCACACACACACACACACACACACACACACACACACACACACACACACACACACACACACACACACACACACACACACACACACACACACACACACACACACACACACACACACACACACACACACACACACACACACACACACACACACACACACACACACACACACACACACACACACACACACACACACACACACACACACACACACACACACACACACACACACACACACACACACACACACACACACACACACACACACACACACACACACACACACACACACACACACACACACACACACACACACACACACACACACACACACACACACACACACACACACACACACACACACACACACACACACACACACACACACACACACACACACACACACACACACACACACACACACACACACACACACACACACACACACACACACACACACACACACACACACACACACACACACACACACACACACACACACACACACACACACACACACACACACACACACACACACACACACACACACACACACACACACACACACACACACACACACACACACACACACACACACACACACACACACACACACACACACACACACACACACACACACACACACACACACACACACACACACACACACACACACACACACACACACACACACACACACACACACACACACACACACACACACACACACACACACACACACACACACACACACACACACACACACACACACACACACACACACACACACACACACACACACACACACACACACACACACACACACACACACACACACACACACACACACACACACACACACACACACACACACACACACACACACACACACACACACACACACACACACACACACACACACACACACACACACACACACACACACACACACACACACACACACACACACACACACACACACACACACACACACACACACATCCAACCACACACCCAACCACACCCAACCCCACACACGCACCTGTAGGTAACGTATTGCATGGCGAGGTTGGTGATGCGGTCGGGCAGGCTGTTGGGGTCGGTGCGCACGGGCGCCAGCAGGTGCAGGTACGAGTTCAGCAGGCGGCCAGCGCACTTGTCCGCGAACATGGTGGCGAACGCCTTGTCATCGCCCTTGGCGTACTTGGGATTGCCAAACCTGCGGGACAGGGACGAATGAGGGTGTGATAACTTGTGAGGCAACCAAAACATGAGGGCAGCGCACTTATTGGCAAACATGGAGACGAGCGCCCTGTCCTCGCCCGCCCTTGGCGTACTCGGGATTGCCAACCTCTGGGAGCGTGGGGAATGGGTGAGTGTGGTTAACGACGTGAGAGCGTGTGGAATCGCAACTGATGACACGAGAGCCCGTCGAACGTGCGGTTGATGACGTGCAACAGCCACATCTTGACCTTTCCACCATGCCCGTAACCCCCACGCCCTTGCCCAGAACCTTCAACGCCCCCCCAGCATCCCTTGAAGGTCATCGCCAACACAGCGTCCCACCCACCTGTGGAACATGCGGTTGATGATGTGCAGCAGCCACTTGTTCACCTTCCACCACGCCCACTGCTTGCGCTGCCCACACCCATGCCCGTACCCTCCAACTCCCCCCAGGCCCCCATGCCCCAGCATCCCTAGCAAGCCGTCACCTGTGGAACATGCGGTTGATGATGTGCAGCAGCCACTTCTTCACCTTCCACCACGCCCACTGCTTGCGCTGCTCGGGGTCCGACGGCTGCCCCTCCGTGGGCACAGGCCGCTCCAGCAGCGCGTGGAAGCACTCCATCCACGCCAGGAACACCGCCTCCTGCTGCACCATCTCGGGCACCTTGAGCTGTTATTGGGGGATCGGGGTTGACAGCGGTGGTGGTATGAGGGAGGAACGGAAGCGGAGAGGGGAAGGGGGGGTTTAGCAGCGTGTAGAAGCACTCCATCCACGCCAGGAGCACGCCCTCCTGCCTCAGCGCCCATCAGGATGAGGGGTGGTGGGTTGGGGGAATGGGGAAATGGGAAGATGAAGAAACGGAATGATAGGGAGACGGAGAGATGGGGGGATGGGTATGGAAGGGACGTTAGAGGAGAGAGAAGGGGTAGCACCACAAGAGCGCGTACGCTCATCCGTTCACGCAGCATTGCTTAGAGTCGCATGCCCATTCACGCGGGTGGAGATGTGGCACTCACGTAGCAGGCGGACCAGAAGATCTTGAGCACGAGCTTGATGTACTCGGCAATATCGAGGGACGGGTTGGGCACGGCCAGCAGCTGCTGCAGAATGACCAGCAGCTGCGGGAACGTGCTGGTTACCACCTCGTGCACGGGCACGCGGTCCTCCTCGTCCTTGAACCTGCACGCGCACGAGGAGCGGGGGGATGTGGGGGACGGAGAATGAAAGGAGTGGATGGCGGATGGCGGGTGCGAGCAGGGAAGAGAAAGGGCAGGGAAGGTACGCGTGCCACGATTGCACGCGACCCATCACGCCCCATCACACGTACTCGTATTTCCGCGCGACCCATCACGCCCCATCACACGTACTCGTATTTGCGCGCGACCCATCACGCCCCATCACACGTACTCGTATTTGCGCGCGAGCACGCGGACGACGACGAGCGCGCCGTAGACGCGCGGCTGGTCGGGGCTGTGCAGGTTCGCGAGCGCCTGCTGCAGCAGCGCCGGCATGCGCTCGGGGTAGTCGCTCTGCACCACCGCCTTGAGCACCTCGATCAGCTGCGACCTGCGGGGGGTGCAGAGTGGGGGGAAGCGGCAGGGGGGAGAGTGGAGGGAGCGTGAATGGGTGTCAGGGGTGTCAGGTGAACGGGGGCAAAGGGTCCAATAAGCAATTGCAGATTCAAAATGATTACAGAAGGGTAGGGGTGAGAACACGAATCGAAGACGGGAATGCACGGGCAGCAAGCGATGCATGTGCAGCGCGGGAATGCGAGGGCAGGACGGCAGCGCACCTGATGAGCGGCGGGCAGCAGATGACGGCCTCCACGAGGTTGTCCCGCACCGCCGCCACGTCACCCTCCGAGAACAGCGGCGAACCTGCCGGGATCGCCGTGGACGGAACGCGCACAGTTAAATTCAACGCTCAGCAGGCTACGAGAATCATATCACCCGCCAATGGCATCCTATACCATCCGCCCACCCCGATCCCATCCCTCGCCCTCGTCGAACAAGTATAGCCTCATCCGTTATGGCACTCGAGTACCACCTGCTTCGTTATAAGACGGTGCGCTTGGTTCCTTCCGCGTGAACTATCCCATCGTCTGCTCATCTCACAGAGCCGCATTCTCAAATTCTTTGTCAGGCAATGACTAGAACAATTAGCTTATAACGAGGCGACGACTCACCTGCAGCGGCGGCCTCGGTAGCGTCGGATTTGGTTCTCCAGTTGCGCGACACGGTGTTCTTGAAGTGAATAGCCGCCACCTGGCGGATCGCGAGGTCCACGTCAGCACGCACGACCATCTGCAGCAGCGCCACGAGATGCCCCGGCACGAACTGATTCTGCCGATTCGGAACGAGGACGGGGGGAGCAAGGAGATGACGAAAGAAGTTAGTTTGGCGTCGCCTGAGAATGCGACAATTCGCGAACGCAGCGGCGGTTTGAACGGTTTCCGTCGACGGGGCAAATTCCTCGTTGTCGAGCAATGCTCGTGCTCCTCGATCATGCTTGCGTTCGGTCAAGCAAGTGGGATATAATGAAGCGAAACCCGGAGTTTTGGAACGCAAGAATATACGAATTCAGCTAGCTAAGTTGTGAGAAAGGACAACTATCGATTTGCTAAGAAAGGATGCACAGAAGGGATGATCTACAAACGAGATGATCTACGAAAGGGATGATTTACGGACGGGATGATTTACGGACGGGATAAACTACGAGCGGGATAATCTACAGACGAAATGATCTACGAACGGGAAGATTTACGGACGGACCTGCACGAGGTGAGCCTCGCCGGCCTTGCGCTCCTCGGGATTGGCGCTGAGGGCCTGCTGCAGCACGCCGGACAGCTGCGCTAAATCCATGGCGGCGATATGCACGAAACACGCGGAGCAGACGAAAGTTGCGGACCCGCGCACGGGCAGACGAGGCTAGAGCGGGCTAGAATCTCGCAGGAGCAGAGATGCAACGCGTGCTGGCCTCGAGCTTGCCAAGGCAAAGAGAGCGCAACTGCGGAATTCTCGAGGAATTTATTCTGTGAGGTTGCGGTGGGGGAAGACTCAGAAGTGATGGTTCTTGGGGGATGGACGGGATGGTGTGGGATGGGATGGGTCACGGACTCACGGGTGTCAGGCATCCATGCTGTGATGTGCAACCATCTGTGAGAGATTCGCCCGAGAAGGGAATGAGTTCCCAAGAAGAGCCTGACGGGTTCAGGGTTCAGGGTTTATTTCGTGGAAAACTAGTGGCCCATGTGTGTCGCACACGGCGAGGCGGCGTGGGGTTGAGGGTGCCGTGGCGACAGTCTACGACCGTTGCGACAGATCTCACTAATGCTGGAACGTTCTGCTCCAGTAACGGGGATGGCAAGTTGTTCTCCTGATATGGCTCTTTGTGAACTTATACGTTACATGATGAATACTTAATATCTAACCCCATGTGAACAGGTGTACCGTAGGAAGTGCCAATCCGCCCTACATGCTCAGGATGGGTCACAGGGCAGTTTCCCTAACAAACACGAGCCCAAAACGTACGGTTATCAGGCCTGGTGGCACATGACCAGGCAAACCCTGGAAGTTACATGCACCAAAATAACACCAGCGGATGCCCTCCCAGTTTCAGCTTCGGTGCTGGATTACGGCCAGGCATCAATCCCTCATCCGAGTCTCCACAGGGAAGCGCTGCAATGGGAAGCCGCAACGAGAAACAACTTCATGCCTCGAGATGCTTCGCACCAAGAGCGACACACTGAGAACCACATTCACTTCACGCCTCACTGCTTCATGCAAGAGCAGCGACGGGCTCCTCAGCAGCAGGCGCCTTGGCTTCTGGCGAGTTGGCTTCGCTGGGCGGCACGAGCTGCCAGAAGAGCGGCAGGAACTTGTCCCAATCCGCCAGGATGGCGGCCGCCTTGGCACTGCCCGTCAGATCCTGCTCAGCACACGGAGATGGTGGGAGGAGGAGATGATGCATGTGAGTGGGGAAAGTAGGGATACTTGTTCTAACACAACTACACCTTGCATGATGCCTTTGCCCTGCAATAAGGGCGACAGAGAAACAAGGACGAGTGCAGGCACGGTGAGAGAGTCGGTGTGAGTGGGTGCAGAGAGAGCGTACCGCATGGTCCTGGATGAGCGACTTGAGCTGCTGCTGGCCCCCTGGCGACACCACTCTCTGCATCGCCACAATCTCCCGGTTCACCTGAGGAATCACATCGATGTAACCAGCCAGATACAGCAAGGTTAGGAAGATAAATGCAGTAGAAATTCCTGATGTGAAGAGAAGTAAATAGATGTGACGGGGGGACAGACGAGACAGAGATATCACCCACATTAAAACAGAAGGGGACGGGAGACGAGGTGGCAATAATAGGTAAGGAAGAGTGGGCAACGGACCTTAGGGGAGAAGGTGTCGTCCTCATCCAGGAAGTACCCGATGCCTCCTGTCATGCCCGCTGCTACATTGCGCCCCACCCTGTGGAACGCCGAGGGAAAAAAGGGGCCAGAGAGAGAGAGACAAGCAGTGATGCTCAAACATTGCCTGGAATGACAAGTGCATGCAGAACCAAACCCAACCCGTGATTCTCAATCCCCTAACCAAGGTGCCAGCCATCGCACTCACAGCAGTGGCGAGCGGGTTAAGATATTTGGTCAATGCCTCATGCCCCCCCATGTCAGTGCTCTCCCGTGTCCCAAACCCCTCGATCCCCCAACCCGCCAGCTGGCACTCACTTGCCGAGCGCCACAACGGTGCCGCCAGTCATGTACTCGCAGCAGTGGTCGCCGGCGCCCTCCAGCACGGCCTGCGCATTGGAGTTGCGCACAGCGAAGCGCTCCCCCGCACACCCGCGCACAAACAGCCGCCCGCCTGTGGCGCCGTAGAGACACGTGTTGCCGATGATGGTGGCTGTCTCGGCCTGGAAGGTCGCTGCCTTGGACGGCACCACCACTATCTGCCCCCCTGCCATGCCCTGCCACGCATCAAGGTAGGTGGAAAGAAAGGTGTGGGGAGGGAATTCGGCACAAGAAAGGGTGTAGTAGAGGGGAGAAAGGGTTAGAGTGGGCAAGACGGAAGAGGTGCGGACAGATGTTGCGATTCTGGAGACTAGTCTCTTATGAATTCTGACAAACCTACGAGCCTGCCCAAAGGAGCCCCCCAGTGCCATGCCTAATGCACTAAGAAACCCACACACACAGCACCAATCACTTCCCCACACAGCTGCTGAACTCCCTTCCAAGTTAACTGTTCACTCCGTACAATGTCCTGCGCCACTTGCCCTCTTTCGTTGCCAATGGCACCATATGAACCGCCCTCTGTCTGAATCGTTGCCCATACCTTGCCGACGTAGTCGTTGGCCTCGCCAATGAGGCGGATGTTCATGCCGCCCGCCAGGAAGCACCCAAACGACTGCCCTGCACTGCCCTTGAACCTGCGGGCACGGGCATCGATAAACATGACAAGGTTCATATGAGAGAACGTGGGGCTTGATCCGGACACGGCATATGTGGAATAACGAGGGGTCATGTGGGGTGGAGACAAATCTAGTGGGGTGGAGAGGGGCCATGTGGGCCAAACGTACGGGAGACAGAATCTGAGGCTAGGTGTGCTGCGTAGGGCACATGCACTGTACGGTGTGCTGCGTAGGGCACATGCACTGTATGGTGTGCTGCGTAGGGCACATGCACTGTATGGTGTGCTGCGTAGGGCACATGCACTGTACGGTGTGCTGCGTAGGGCACATGCACTGTACGGTGCACCGATAGTGCAGGGAGGGAGGGTGAAGAACATCAGCAGCAAAGGATGCTGCAGAGGGGAGGGGAGCGGGGGGGCGGTGGGGGCCTCACGTGATGTTGACGGCGCCTGTGAAGCCCGAGTCCCCATGGCGCTTGGCAATGGCACCCGCCACGCGGCCACACGTGGAGCGGTCTGTGTTGACTATGGGCGTGGCCAGCTGCACCACCTTGTTCTGCTCTATCGCCGCCATCACCTGCTCGTTGGCACACAGGGGACACACGCAGGGCGCACAGGGGAGCACAAGGGGCAGGGCAGGCAGGGAAACAGAGTGAAGGTCAGTGAGCAGTCTGTGTTGACTATGGGCGTGGCCAGCTGCACCACCTTGTTCTGCTCTATCGCCGCCATTACCTGCACACGGGGAGAAGAGTGAGGGCTTGCGATTAGCAAAAAGACGTTCAGAGCGAGCAATGTGGACGGATACATGATGCATGTGTGTCATACGGATGTAGGGAGGGAGGCCAGCGAGTTGCAATCACGTGGGGGGTGTATCATGTATGTATGGGAAAGGTGGGCATATGTTGGGGGTGGGGCTGCAACGCACGGTGGGGTTGGCGAGGAGGGTGTCGTCCAGCATGGGCCCGTTGGAGTGCACCTCCTGTGCCATGCGCTCCCTGCTGCTCGCTGATGACACCCCGGGGTACTGCCACGTGCCGGGAGACGAGAGGAGGAATGGGTAGACAGTGAGGGGAAAGGGGGGGTTGAGAACACTGGCATGTTGGAGTGCACCTCCTGTGCCATGCACGCTGAGCTGCTCGCCGATGACACCCCGGGGTACTGGTGGGGCGCCGTGGCATGGGGGAGAGGTGGGGCGAGACGAGGGAGGGGAGGTGTTGATGTTGTTAGTGAGGATGGAGGAATAATGGATTCTGTAGGCATATGTAATGTACATGGCGATGTAACAGAGCAGTGAGGACATTGGGAACCGATGGCATGCATGCATGCATGCACACGTGGAGGACAGGCCCATGGTGTGAGGGGCAAGGAGCAGCGTGCATGGCTGAGAGGGTGTGCAGGGGTGGCCGATGTGCATGCTGAGGCGAGGGGCAGCTTACGGTGAGGAGGTAGGAGAGGTCGATGGAGTTGGTCTTAGCGAGTGCCACGTCTCTGGCCTTGAGTGCGTTCACTCGCCCCACCAGCTCGTCCAAACTCCTCATGCCCAGTGACGCCAGCCCCACCCGCACCTGCAGGGGACAGTGGGGGGGAGAGGGAGCGGGGCGGAGAGATGTGTGGCACAAGGGCGGAGGCAGACTAGTTTTGAGGCGCCTCAAACAAAACTAGACTCATGCCCAGCGATGCCAGCCCCACCCGCACCTGCAAGGGACAGTGGGGGGGAGAGGGAGCGGAGCGGAGAGATGTGTGGCACAAGGGCGGAGGCAGACAGGTGAGTAAAGGAGGCTGCAGTGGGGCAGGGAAGGAATAAGGGGATCCTGAGGAAAGGGGAACGGGGAAGGGATATGTGCAGGCAGGTCCAACCTCATCATGCGTCAAGAGGGAGAGGGAGAGGGAGAGGGAGAGGGAGAGGGAGAGGGAGAGGGAGAGGGAGAGGGCGAGGGAGAGGGAGAGGGAGAGGGAGAAGGCGAGGGAGAGGGAGAGGGAGAGAGCGAATGTCTCACCTCCTCCGCGACAAAGACAAAATAGTTGACCAGGTCTGATGGCACCCCTGGGAAGCGCGCCCTCAACTCCTCCCTCTGTGGCGCACAAACACACACACACACAGAGGGTCGCAGGGGGGAAGGCCCGGACAAAACAAGAGATAAGGACAAGAGAGGTGAGACACGGAAACAAATGAGGGACAGACGGAGATGAAAATACATAGAGCATTGAGAACAACTTTTGAGGCGCGACACGGAAAAAAGAGGGGGACAGTCGGAGATGAGACTACATAGAGCAGTGAGAAATGGGAGAATGGGGAGGCAACACACATGAGAAAAACAGGGCAGCTGCCTAGAACCAACAGAGATCATATCCAGGACCAGCATTTCCTGCAACAGCCGCCAGCGGAGGGTCATGGTACGGCACCTGAGAAGCAACCCCCACGGGGCAGTTGTTGGTGTGGCAGATGCGCGCCATG